AGAAGAGGCACAGGAAGACAAGGGGACAGGTAAGATAGGGAAGAGCAAAAAGAATAGAATAGGGAGGACAGAAGGTTAATGTGAGAGAAGATAGGAAAGACAGAGAGAACAGAATATAGGGAAAGAAAAACCTTGAAGAATTTAAAACATAGGAGAAACAAGGAAAAAATTAAAATAGTAGTGATACAGAAAGAAGAATTGAAGAAAAGGAATGGCAAGAAAAGAGAGAGAGAGAGAGCGAGAGCAAAGAAATAACAACTGTGTTTCTGGCGAGTCTTCTCTGAGCTTTTCCATTGTGACACCTCCTCTGGCCAGCATATAGGGTCCTCTTTCCTGAGTGTCTGCGAAGTTTTATCAAATATTCAGTGGATGCTGCTGCTGCTGCTAAGCAACAGAAAGGCTGGCTTGTAAAAACATTATGGTATGTCTTCATCCACCTTATTCACAAGAGCTGGCACCTTATGACTTCTCGCTCTTCCTCAAAGTCAAAATAACCATGAAAAATCAACGTTTTGGTTTGTTTTTGAGACAAGGTCTTGCTATGTAATTCTGGCTGGCCTTGAAATTACGATGTAGACCAGGCTGACCTTGCACTTGAGCAATCCTCCTGCCTTACCCTCATGAGTGCTAGGATTACAGGTGTGCGCCATTACATCTAGTTAAAAGTCAACCTTTTGAATCAATTCAGGACATCAAGGCAGCCACAATAGTGTAATGACACTCAGGAAAGAGAACTAGCACTGCTTCAGAAAATGACGATGGGAAGTCTGTTCAAAATGAGGGGGAGGATTGAGGAGGATTAATGGTAGTATATCTTTTATAGCAATACATTATTTATTTTTTTTTTTTTTGCGGTACTGGGGGTAGAACTCAGGACCTTGCACTTGTGAGGCAGGCGCAGCGCCACTGAGCTAAATCCCCGGCCCTTTTAAATTTTTTTCTTTTTTTCGGTAACAGGAATCGAACTCAGGACCTTGCACTTGCCAGGCAGGTGCAGCGCTGCTGAGCTACATCCCCAGCTACAGCAATGCATTTTTAAAAAAACTTAAACCTCATGTATCTTTTTTTTTGGTACCGGGGATCAAACTCGGGTCCTTGTGCTTGCGAGGCAGGTGGCGAAACCACTGAGCTAAATCTCTGGTTCACCGCATGTATCTTTTGACCATACCTTGTAAGTGACCTTGCTTGCCTGTTTCCTGTGGAAGAGCTCTTGCCTCCAGATTCCGTGTGTTTATAAAGAGCTGTAGTCTCTCTTAGCCTGTACTCTTTGCAGGTGGAAGTTATTTTTGGTTAAGGTTAATGACTTATTCTGACCTGAATTACTCAGGTTACCTTATTAAAGAAGATTGCAGGGCCAGGGATTTAGCTCAGTGGTTCTGCCACCTGCCTCACAAGTGCAAGGACCAGAGTTTGATCCCCAGTACCAAAAAAAAAAGAAGATTGTAAATGCTCACTTGTAGAGAAGCCGCTTTGGAGCTCTGTGTATTTGTGCCTATTTCTTCTGGGGTTTCGTGGCTTCTCTCCCTCCCTGCTTCCTTTGATTACCCTCTTGCATCTGCTCCTGGGCATGTGTGTGAGGTCTGTTCTGTCCCCATCCCTTACTCCCACCCCATTCTGGAGCTTGAACCACAGGTAGATGCCACCACACTTGGTTTAAATATACTGATTTTTTAAAAAAATTAATTTTTATTTGTGCATGTTTACCATACATTGAGGAGTTGGTACATGTATGTAGCACATTTTAATTCTTTTTTCATCCTCTTCTCTCTTGATTGCCTTCCCTTTTGCAAAAGATTTATCTCCTGTTTTTTATTGTCTTTTTTTATTGCTTTTTAATTTTTTTTTGATAGCAAAATTTTATTAAACGTAGGACAAGAAACAGGTTCAGCAGAGCAAATTTGGGCCAAGTAAAAGTAAGAAAAGAAGTAAACTCTACAGTGTGAGGTGGACCACCATGGAACAGAGAACACAGTGGCCAGAGTTCCCTGTGGACTGTCCTTTTTGTATCATCCACTCCTCAGGCCGATGTCAGGTCTAGGCTGTCCTATCCCAAACTGCTCGAGTTACACCTCCACCATAGATTTCAGAGAGAAACAAACAAAAAAATGTGCCCAAAAGGACCTTACCTCCTGGTTGGCTGTGACAGATATGTTACTGGCTTTTGGGTTGCTGGCATCTCCTCCTGGAGGTGGTTTCTAGGTTCTTTCTGTCCTTAGTAAAAAATGGGTCAAGACAAGCACAAACAGTAGCAAAGTTTTATTAAAGGTGGGACAGGCTCTGCAGAGCAAGTTTGGGCCAAGTGAAAAAGTAGGAAAATAAGTTACACCCCACCACGTGAGGGTGGGCCATGTGCAAGAGAGAATACAGTGGCCTGTATTTTATTTTATTTTTTGGCCTGTATTTTAAACACACTGATTTCTGTATCCTGTAACTGCTGAAATTATTTATTAATTTTTTTTTTTTAATGTGTGGAATCTTTAGGGTTTTCTACATGAAATACTGTGTCATGGGCTGGGGATTTAGCTCAGTGGTTTCGCCACTGCTGCGCAAGCACAAGGACCCGAGTTCGATCCCCGGTACCAAAAAAAAAAAAAAGAAGAAGAAATACTGTGTCATTTGCAGAGATAATTTTCCTTCATTTTATTTTGTCTAATTGTTCTGGCTTGGATTTCAGTACTGTATTGAATATAAGTGGTAAAAGAGGGCAACTTTGCCTATTCCTGATCTTAGAGAAAAATATTTCAGTCTTTCACCACTTAATGTATTAGTTGTGGGCTTTTCTTTTAATTTCTTTTTCCTTTTTTTTTTTTGAGACAGGGTCTTACATATGGTCCAGGATGCCCTTGTACTCAACGGTGATCCTCCTGCCTCAGTCATGTGCTACCATGCCCAGCCAGTTGTGTATGGGCTTTTCTTATATAGCCTTTATTATATTGAGATAGTTACTTTGTATTCTAGGGCTTCTTTTTTGTTTTTTTGGTGATACTGAGGATAGAACCTAGGGCCTCACATATGTTGGGCAAGAGCTCTACCACTGAGCTATACCTCTGCCCCTTTTTTCCCCCAATTTTTATTTTGAGATAGGATCTCACTAAGTTGCTTGGGCTGGCTTTGAATTTATGAGCCTCCTACCTCAGCTTCCTGAGTAGTTAGGATTACAGGCATGAGCCATTGCACCAGGCTTGTGGAGTGTTTTTATCATGAAGGGGTGGTGAATTTTGTCAAATGTTTTAGATCCTCCTTTGGAATGACTGTGTGCTCTTTGTCCTTTCTTCTGCTAGCATGGTATGTTATGTTGGTTTTTGTTAAAATAAATCATCCTGTTTGATCACAGTGCATAATCCCTTGAATGTGGTGTTGAATTTGGTTTGCTCTTATTTTGTTGAGGATTTTTGTATCAGTATTCATTGAGGGCAATGATCTGTAGTTTTCCTCTGGTGTCCTTGTTTGGCTTTGGGATCAGAGCTAATGCTGGCCTTGGAGAATGAGTGTGCTAGTGCTCCCTCCTCAGTTGCTTGCAAGTATTTGAGGAGCATTGCTGCTGATTTTTACCGGCATTTGGTAGAATTCTTCAGGGAAGCCATCATGCCCTGGGCTTTGGGTGTGTGTGTGTGTGTTAATTTTTGTTAGGTGTTTATGTTTATAGTACGTAATGATTACATTCATCAGTTGGGAGGTTTGATTATGCTTCAAGCTCCTTACTAATTATAAGTGTGTAGATTTTCTGTTTATTCAGGAACAAGTCTTGGTAAGTTGTATTTCCAGAAAAAAATTTGCTCATTTCTTCTAGGTTATCCATTTTGTATATAATTCTTCATAGTATTTCTTAGAATTCTTTTTATTTCTGTAGCATCAGTTGTAATGTTCTCTCATTGATTTCAGTTATTTGAATTTTCTTTTTTCTTTTTGGTACCGGGCAGTGAACTCAGGACTTTGCACTTGTGAGGCAGGCACGTTGCCACTGAGCTAAATCCCAGGCCCCTGAATTTTCTTTTTTATGTTTATCTAAGGGTTTGTCAATTTTGCTGATCTTTCCAAAAAGCCAGCTCTTAGTTTACCTGATTTTTTAAAAATTGTTTTTCATTTGTTTCAGTGCTAGTGTTTATTTCTTTTCTACCTTCTGCTAACTTTTGGTTTAGTTTGTTCTTTTTGTAATTCTCTGAGCTCTATAGTTGGTTAATGTGAGATCTTTTTGTCTTTTTTAATGTAAGCATTTACTACTTTAGCTTTTCTATCTTTACTGCTCTTGCTATGTCCCACACATTTCAGGATGTTGTCATTTTCATTTGTCTCCAGAGTCCTAGATGATATATATATATATATGTTTGGTTTTTTTTTTGTATCAGGGATTGAACTTGGGACCTTGTGCTTGCGAGGCAGGCAGCAGAACCACTGAGCTAAATCCCCTGCCCAGTATTAAACTTGTGTTGAATATAAAATGTGTGAAATATAAAATGTTATCGGGGAATACAGATAGGGAAATAGCACATCTTGTTAAATTAACAACCTAGCAGGGGATTTCTTATTGTTAGGGCTTCTCTTTGGATGTGTTTATAAAAAAGAGGGATTTCCCACAAAAAAAATCCTCTATGCATTGAGCTGGGAGCAGTGAGCAAGAGAGGTATCTATCTTATTGCGGGGCGTGGTGGCACAAACCTGCAATCTCAGCACTTGGGAGTTCAAAGCCAGCTTGGACTACATGGTGAGTTGAAGGCCAGCCAGGACTACAGTGATACTCTGCCTCAAAAAACAAAAAACCAGACCAAAACCAAATCCATTATGATGGATACTTTTGTGATCATCTGCCCTCTGAGCAAACCAGTGAGGCCCAGAGATGGGAGATATCACCTCTCTTCTGAGCTTTTGTCTTGCATGAGGACAAAGTGAGGACAGTGGAAACTTCTCATTAAGAGAAAACTAGCATTTAGGGCACGGTCTTTACCTTCAGCCTTGAGTTATTTACCATTTACTTTTAACAAAACACCGTTTTCTCCTGCTAGGCACAACACTGTCACTGGGCGGTGGCTGACCAGGTTCCAGGCTGTGTGGGACCCTAAGCAGGAAGACTGCATCATTGTTGGCAGCATGGTCCATCCGCGACGTGTGGAGGTCTTCCATGAGACAGGAAAAGGGGTGCACTCCCTCCTTGGGGAGTGCCTTGGCTCTGTGTGCTCCATCAATGCCATGCACCCAACCCGCTATGTCCTGGCTGGGGGGAATTCCAGTGGGCGGCTGCACGTTTTCATGAAGCCAGGAAGCTGCTGAGTCCTGGGGTAGGTTCACTGTTTGTTTAGATTGATCACTGTCAGAGGAACCTGGGATTCCTGTGGCTTCATGTTGTACTTGGTCATATGTTACATTTAGGAAATATACAGTTGCTTTATGAATAAGAACCATGGCTGGGCGTGGTGGTAATGCCTGTAATCTCAGGACTCTGGGAGGTTGAGGCAGGAGGATTGCAAGTTTTAGCCCAGGCTGGGCAACTTAGCAAGACTGTCTCAAAATAAAAAATAAAGTGTTGGGAATGTGGCTTAATGCAGACGCCCTGCCTAGGTTCAATCCCTAGAACTATAAAAAAACCCCAAACAAGGGCTGGGGATTTAGCTCAGTGGTTCTGTCACCTGCCTCGAAAGCGCAAGGTCTCCAGTTCAATCCCTGGTACCAAAAAAACCAAACCCAAAAAACAAAGCTCCAGGCAGAACGTACGTTTAGTAAAGCAGGAGGCTTTAGAGGCTGTCTCTGGGATGGGCAGGGAATTAGGGCTTCAGCACTGTTCATTAGGCAGCATGTTAAGAAACTAGCATGACAAATTGTAAAGCTTTGAATGATTAACATTTTGGTAATCTAATGATATGGTTTTGATCCTATAGTGATATACAGGTAGATCGGCTTAGTTTACAGTTTCAAGTGAATTATTTATTTCTAGACCCTTATACTGGAAGGGGCCCTAAAAGGTGCCTTTAACTCAGTGATTTTGAAACTTCGTTTTCATATCTTAGAATGTCTTTCTGCACCCAGCCTCTCAGTGAAATCTTGCATAAGGTCCTCAGGTGAGGCTGTCTCTGGCTCACTGGGGCAGGACCTGTGGGTGCTGCCAAGACCCAGCCTGTGGTGCTAGGGTTTGGTGGCACTGGTTCAGACCCCTTTATTCCCAGCATCAGCTTGCCTGTCAACAGTGCTCCAGACTAGGGGCTTAGCTCTGTAGAGTTGGTCTTAAAAAGGAAAGGAAAAAAAAAAAAAAGGAAAGGAAAGTTGGGTGTGGTGGCACACACTCGGGGGACTGAGGCAGGAGGATCTCTGTGAGTTGGAGGCCAGCCTGGACTACATAGTGAGTTCAAGGCCAGCCTGAAATACATAGCAAGACCCTACCCTGTCTCAAAAAAAAAAACAACAAACGAACAACCCACAAAAAATCAGAAAACATAATTAGAATAAGTATTGTTTGGTGAAACATAGTTTCCTATGCACATACATGTAGGTATATGTTTATGTATTTCTGATTTAAAATGTATTTTTTGTTAAAAGTGAAAGCTATTGCCTTAGTGTCCCTGTCTTTCACCTCTCCAAAGGAGATTCAGCAGCCTGTTAAGTGAATACTTTTATTTCTACTCATATTTTGGGGAAATGTTCTGAAATATCCAGCACTTTGGATATTTCTGAAATTGTCTCTTCCCAGAATTTATGGTAATTTCAGTGTCTGTTATTGGGAAGGGGAGCTGCAAAAGCAGTGGCTAATACTGTGTGTGACATTGGTCAGCTTCTCGGTTGCTCACTGTCAAGAGCACTACTGAAAGATTTGTAAAAAGCGTATGCGCTGTGTTTGAATTAAAAGAAACATTATCTTTTCATAGTTGTATATCACAGAAATAGAGTGGTTATTTTCTTGAAGAATAAATTTTCGTAAGTAATTTTCTTCTCTGTAATTAAAAATCTAAGTGTTCTGAGATGTTTACTAACAGGTTGTGGGTGTTTATAAGAAGTGAGCATTCTTTATTTTCTAGTTGATGTGATCCAGGAATTGGTAAGTACCATAGAAAGATTATGAAATAGGAAGTCCATCTAAGCAAGACTGAATTGTGTGTGTATTTATTTATTTTGGTGTTACTGGTGATTGAACCCAGGGCATTGAGGCAAGCATTCTACCTCTGAGCTACATCCCTGCCTGGGAGACCCTTAAATCATCTCAAGAGGCTTAAACTCCTTTCCTTTTCTGCACTAATTAATTTCACAGGTTTTAGAGTGGTTAGTTCTGTGGGAATTTTTTTTTTGTACCGGGGATCAAACTCGGTACCTTGCGCTTGCGAGGCAGGTGGCAGAACCACTGAGCTAAATCCCCAGCCCGTGAGTCCTTATTTTATTTTTTCATTTTTATTACCAATATTTCATTTAAACATTTTTATAATTAGTAATTCTTTGTAGTACATAATGATCACTTTTATCGTGGGAAGTTGGTACATGGACATAATACATCTTAATTCTTTTTTTCCATGTCCTACTGTTCCCTTCTCTCCCTGCTTCTTCCAACTCTTGGTCCCCTTCCCATTTACAAAAGCTCTATTTTCATAAATTTTCCCCCCTTCAGTTCTTTTTTCCTTCCCTTCCCTCCCCTGTCCCTCCATCTCATTATCCCACCCATTTGAAAAAGATCTCCCTACTTCTTATTTACCTATCTTCTATTTTGCCCTCCCTCCTCCCTCCCTTTATCTATAGATCTATAAATACAGATCTATAGATATAGATTTTGAGTTTCTTATATGAGAAACCATGTGACATTTAAGCTTATGTGTCGGATTTCACTTGATATTATGGTCTCAAGTTGCATCCATTCACCTATGCGTGCCTCAGGTTTATCTTTCTTTATGGCAGCAGCCCTTTTTATTTTGAGATGGTCTCAGTAAGTTGCTGAGATGCCTAGGCGGGGCTGGAGCTTATGACCCTCCTGCCTCAGCCTCTTAAGAGTACCAGGATTATAGGAGTGTGCTGCCATGCTTAGCTGGGAATTGTCCTTTTTAAGATGCTGAAAACTACTCTCCCACCGATTAGTACCATACTTGGCAGTAAGTGCTTGGCCTCTTCAATAAACATTAGCAAGTTCTCGATGTTTCTCACTTTTGTGGTTTCTTTTGCCATTGCAGCTTCATAAACTCTGCTATTTTTAGCCAGTGTCACTTAATAGAGTAATATCTTCTTGAATGCAGGAGGAAAGAGAATGAGTAGGGACTTACTTCATAGTAATAAGTTTTATAATGGTACAATTATGTAAATCTAGAAAACACATAAAGGAAAATTGTCTCCCTTAGGATATCCTTGCACCGCTATCCTTATGAAAGGCACTTCTGCAGACGCTTACAGCTTTGTGGACTCTAATTCTGTGTGGATTATGACTGCTCCCTCTCTGTGGGATAAACCTGTGCTTCAGCGTGGCCTCTGTGTAAGCTTGCGCTCTGCTGGAGTTGTGTGAGGGCCACCTTATGACACTGACTTTAAGGAGAGAGTAGACAGTTCTCACTTTGTGTGGATGGACAGACCCTTGGTTAGGCGAGGGCCTGAGCTGTTCAGTCCTGTTGCAGTATTCTGGCCACAGAGAGCCCTCCAGGAAAGCAGGGATTTTGGGGTTTTGGATACAGAAATTTAAATCCCCTTCAGCAGCAAACACTTCTGCGTGATCTCAGGAAAAATCACTTAAACTTTTTGGTTTTCCTTCTCAGAAAAATGAGGTCCAATTCATCTTTATTTTGTTTTATTTTTTTTTTATGTTCAACCTCCAGTTTTTACTTTCAGAGTTATTTGAAGCCTATGCTGATGGAACTCGAATGTTTTCCTTCTTACACATTTGACTAAATTTATACTCACTATACCTACCAACCTGGATCAGGTTAATTGCATAGGAAGATTTTTACTATGTTTACATTTTTCTTAAATTAATTTAAAAACATAGTAAAGAGTCTGAGGACAAATTATTCAACTGTTTATCATACATAAGACCGCATGACTATAATACAAAAGGGGTTCCAATTCATCTTTTTTTTTTTTTTTTTGGTACTGGGGATCAAACTCGGGACCTTGCGCTTGTGAGGCAGGCACTGGAACCACTGAGCTAAATCCCCGGCCCAATTCATCTTTAAAATCATTCTCTATTTGTAGCTTCTCGGTTTCTAACAGTATTTATGGGGGGGGGCTGAGGACAGACAGAAGCAAAGTTTGATATGACCCCAATTGTGAACAGCAGTTGGCTGAGTGAATCCCACTGGTACCCATTCATCTGTGTGCTATAACTTTTTTTTTTTTTTTGTACCGGGAATCAAACTCAGGACCTTGCACTTGTCAGGCTGGTACTGTGCTCCTGAGCTAGCTAGTAACTTTTGATAAAGCGAGACAAGCTGTAGGTTAAAAAAAGAGCCCACTCTCCATGGTATTTAAATATTTATTTAAGTTTAAAAATAATCTTCCTGGCACCAGTGATTTTATGCTAACTACATACTGCATATGTAGAAAAAAGTACATTGTTTTGAAGGGAAATGTAACTTAAGAATTTTTGGCACACGAAAGGTTAACAACTATATATTTGTAAATGAAACTAAGAAATTCACATTTGCAGGTAGTTTACCCTCTATTGCTTAAAGATGTGGTACACTATTCTTCAGTAAGAGTTATTTCCTCTGACAGAGCACAGGACGGAAACCATTGCTTTTTCTACAGTGAGATAAAACTAACTTTGAGAGAAAACGAAGAGACAATAGAACATAGTAAAACCGGATTAAAAACTGAAACAACTTTTTTTTTTTTTTTTTTGGTTCGGGGGATCAAACTCGGGACCTTGCGCTTGCGAGGCAGGCAGTGGAACCACTGAGCTAAATCCCCGGCCCGTGGAACAACTTTTAATAGTGAGTAGATACCAAAAAAGACTAGTCGCCAACAAAGGTTTGTTATTCAAACACTATTTGAGAAACAAACTGAAGGAAATTTCTCTGTCCATATTTTGTGGAATAAGCCCTAGGAAAAACATGTTCCCAGCATTTCTGCTGGGTTGCTGGAATGGCATGGACCACTGTACCGTACTGTCAGAACTTGACACAAGAAGCACACCAGGCAGAGCTATGCATCTCTCCCACGGGGACAGGCCAGGTCAGAGGCATGGCGATTGCTCACTTTGGAGACTGAGCTCTACAGACTGAGGTAGGAGCACTACACTAGGTCATGTGCTGTGCTGCACAAGACAGTGGAGATCCATGATGCCACCAGCCCCATCTCCAGACAGCCCTTTCATCTCTTGGTTATTTTTCACTTTAGTCCTGTGCCAAATAAAGCCTTTGCTATGCAGATGACAAGTGGCAGTGGCTAGTTGGTTTTAAGTGATCCTTTATCTTCACAAGGGTCTCCCTTGATTTTTCTTGTTACTTGGTAAGTAGATGTTTGTGATTCTGCCCAAATTGTTGCTGGTATGAGGGTGATCAGAGAGGCCCACCTACATTCTTAGATTTGCCACATTTTAGTATTCTAGTACTTCATCTGGCTCATCTTGGCTTCTGGTATCTTTGCTGGTTTGTTGTTTGAGCACCCTGTAAACAAGCAGCCCCAGCACCTCCACTGGGAACCCTTGTGGGTCTTTAACATATGCCAGAAATCGAGCAGAGGTGACCTTCTTCTGCTAACATATGGTCAGTTTTATTGTCTCCATCAGGGTTGGCTTATTACAGCCTGTAGGCCAAATTCAGCCTACTTCTATTTTTATTGAGCTTTATTGGAACACAGCCTTGTTCTTTCATGTATGCTTTATCTGTGGCTGTTTTTGTGCTATGATGGTAGAATTGAGTAGTTGTAACAGAGTATGGCCCACAAAACTGAAATATTTATTATGTGACATTTTCCAGGAGAAGTTTGCTGACCTCTAGATGAAAAAGGTAACTTTGCTATCTTTAAAATGACCCCCACCCCCAATTTGGCCATGGCTGTCATAGTCTGGACATGGACATGGCTCTGCCATCTTCCCAACAAATTAGGGGAGATCAGATCTGCAGGTAACGTATCCTGCTCTGTATTTGGGCCTGTCCATCATCATAGTGGTGTTAGCTACTCTGCTGCTGTGTGGACTTCAAGTATCCACTGACCACCCTTAAGTAAGTCCTCAGGCCCAGATGACACAGAAATTTCTCCCTGAGATGAAAACAAGACTTTGTGTGTGATCGGTTTTAAGTGCTGCAGAGCTCAGGCCGAGGGAGCTTGCCCTCACACCCACCCCTAGTGTCCCTATGCTTCTGTGAACTCCCAAGGTTTTCTTCCCTCAGCTATGATGGCAAGTATAGTCCTAGAACTTCCCAGTGCAGAGGGTGACCCTAGGGGCAGCATTTCTCCATCTAAGTGTTGGTCTCTGCCACAGTCACCTTCTGTATTTTGTAGCATCTCTTGGTCCCTTCCAAGGCTGTGTGTTGATCTTAGAATCTTATTTTCTGATGGTTTCTAGTCTCAGGATCAATTTCTTGCATCACTTTGTTCATCAGGCTGTGTTTTCTTAATCCATAAAGTAAAAACAAAGTATGAATAGGTAAGAAAATAACATTTTGCTGTTAAAATATAAATTGAGAGGGTTTTCTTAGGGGGCACATTGTGTACAAAATAAGTACTGCTCTCTGCATCCCAGCATTTTCAGATCACTTAGCTCTGGCATCTGGTAACTACTTTGTCCAATATATCTGATGGCGCCCTCTGGCACCACTGAATTCATTTCCCGCCCTGGAACTCTCTCAAGTCTTGAGGTTCTTCAGGAAACATCACAGAAGCCTTTTTCACAACAAGGTGAGGCCCACTAGGCTCTAGTCTAAGGGGACAGACTTACCCTACCCCTTCTGCTGCTGGCTTGGCGGTGGTCCCTTCAGATGCCCACTTCGCTCAGATTTGAAAAAACAAAAGGAAAAGAAAATCCAACTCAGACCATCATAAGAAGCAACTTTCCATTTAATCATTCCACATGGATTTTTTTTTAAAAAAAGCTCTCTCGCAAGAAAACCTAAGCAGTCTCCACCATGCAGACCCCTGGCCTGCCCCACTCCGGCTGCAGGCCCGCGTCTCTCCGAACCTGAGCACCAGCAGGAAAGCTGCTGCAAAACACAGAGGACAACGGCGCTCTGGTCTTCAGTTAGCATCCCATCTGCTAGGTGACACTGATAATGAGTAATAGTAAAATAAATTATTTTTATTTGATACTTTCAAAATAACATCTATGAAAAATCAAAAGTCAAAACCAAAAATCCTGCAAATCGAAAGATGAGAAACAAAAGTTGCTGAGTCTTTCTTGAGAGGACCTCTGGAGGAAATGAGTTTTCCCAGTTTGTGTGGACAGGGCCTGCGCCTATCCCTTCCTCCTCCTGGGAAGACCCCTCCTAGGCTGTAGTGGGCTCTGATGCATGGGAGGACGTGGTGTGTGTGCCGATGGTTCCGCGATGGGCCCATTGCTGGGAGGATAGCCGGGGTCCTGCGTCCACCTGGCTAGTTATTGGGAGAAGTCATGCCTTCTCAGGTGTCAATGAGCAGGCTCACCACTGAGCGGATTTTGCAGGCAAACCATCGCCTGAGGGGACAAAAGTATTGATAGTGGAATTGTTCAAACTCAGGGGTCTGGCGGATATCTCGGAAAAAGGCAATGTCAAGGTCAGACTCGGTAAGGATGATCAGGAGGAGGAGCAAAACAAAGAGGAGTCCCATGGTCACAAGGAGCAAACGGAGGACACTTAAAACAAACTTATTCACCTGTTCCTCCTCCGGCCTGCCATGCCCCTGACACAGGGCCCTCAGCTCTCTTCCCAGCGTCTCCGCCTCTGTTGTAGTTGGGGTGCTGGCCTCGGACTCCTTCTCCTCTTCGATGCTACAGGTGGCTCCATTGATCTGCCGGGAGAGCAGCATCAGCTCCAGGCTGTGCTCTGCCACAGGAGTGGGCAGCACACTGTCTGCAGGGCTGTAGGCCTCGTCCGAAATCACAGCTACTCGCTCGTTGCTGTCTGCTCGGCTACTCCTCACATGAGGCAGGAAGTTGTCCCCATGGGAAGACGATCGCACTGGGGTAGAATGGGCACTGTCCCGTAGGGATTCAAGACCTGGAAAGGCAAAAGGCACATGAATAGGCTTTCAAGCCCCCTGGCATACTCTGCTGTCCAGTAGCACCCATTCTTTTTGACTTGAAATCCTCCTGCACACCCTACTTGACCAGTACAAGTGGCTGCCACCCTCCATTTTGACATCAAAAACAGGACAAGGGAAGCCGCAGAAATCAGACTGATCATTTTGTAAGTGTTCTTGTTTTTTGATTTTTTTTTTTTTTGGTACCAGGGATTGAACTCGGGACCTTGCACTTGTAAGGCAGGCGCTGGAACCACTGAGCTAAATCCCTGGCCCAGTGTTCTTGTTTTTTGATTTTTGCTTATGGCTTTGGCCTAATTTGTTCAAGATTCGGTTTTTTCTGCCTTTAATGTCTTGGCCTTGGCACTTGGTTTTAGCCTCCATTTGAAAGGGAGTCTGAATTGTAGACTGTCCGCAGTGCAGAGCTGGATTCTGGGGAATAAGCAGTAGGTCAGAAAGACTCAGTTCACAGCCGGCACCTGCCTCTTCCATTTAGGTCTCAGCTTGCCCAAGAAACTTGTGAAATAACTTGAAATAAGAGCCCTGTTCCTTGTTTCAGAGCTTTTGATGCTCCTTTGACCTCTTGTTTTCTTCCCTGATGCCCCCACTGGCACATGGGACAGGAGAAATACATACCTTGGAGGAGTCATGGGTCATTGATAACATGAACATTAAGGTCTTGGTCATGGTGTATTGCTCTTGGCTGACTTCCTAAGCACTCTTCTGCTCCCTTTTCTCTGGAATCTTAGCCTGGGCCACCTCATCCTCTCAAAGACCTGGCCCCTTATAGGGATGCCTCTGACTGCTGGGTCATCCAGTGTATGGAAGAACTGCTGCCAGCAGCAACTGCAATGCAAACTTGGTTTGGCCTACAAGTAAGCTGTGAGTTGGCTGGGGAAGGAGAGGTGTGGTGTTGTGACATCAGAGGGGATCAGGTAATGGAGAGGGTCACCAGAAGTTACATTCACTGCATTGCTGGTCTTCTCAGTCAAGATAATGGATAGATAGGTGTGTGCATTGTCAGTAGAAGGCCTGACTGCTACAATCCCTCAGTAAATGTTAGTCTTCTACCCCCTCAACAGCAGACCTCACCTGCGTGGCTCTCGTACCACACACCTTGGGCTTGTCCTGAGCAAGATATGGAGTCTACCCACCCGCAGAAACCACCACCAGCCCTGCCGAGCCTCATCTGTTAGTCTGGGGTAGATGAGGTGAGGGGCGCAACAGAGCACAGTGGTGTCCCCTTTACCTGGGAGGTGCTCCAGCTGACTCCCCTGTCCAGAGGTGGCTCGTGCTGGGTCAGGGGGCACAGTCATCAGGACCCTACCCCGGAGCCGGAGCCCCATCCTCAGGACACGCACATACAGGGGCCGAAGGCAGTAGTTGGTCAGCCGGATCTGGACGGGCACTCGGGTGTGAATCTTAATCAGACTTTTCCCCATGGTGGCTCAGGAAGGCAGATAAACTTCTTCAGTCTAAACCAGATGATCTCTTCAGGGAAACCAGCAAGCACAGGAGTGTAGACAGAAAAAGGACTGAAGCTACCCAGAGACAAAGGATTGTCACTGATGCCAGGCCTCAGCAGTGTCCTGTGTTGGCTGGACACTGGCTCCCTGAATGTCCCATCAGGCTGAGCTGTGAGGAAGGAGCAGCTGAGAGGCTGCTGTTATCAGAGGCCTGCATTCAGTCACAAGTGCTTAGAGCCATAAAAAGCAATGCTTCTTGGCCTGCAGCTCTTTCCCTGAGGCCTGTATATGGGCCCAACCTCTCATTGAGGGACAGAGAGGGCAGGGATAAGTCCCAGAAGGTAGAGGAATCAAGATTTACCCAGAAAACCCAGGATGTAAAGCCACAAGGACGTTAGCCTTTATCCAGGGCACACACAAGGACGTCACACACTAGTAAAGTATGGGAGGCGGCTCTACAGGTGCTGAGGGTCAGGTCTCCGTGAGTGGAGTCATCTTGGCAGCCCTGGGGGCAGAGTCAGGCTAATCAGTTCATAGTCTCTTTTTTTAAGTCTCATTGGGATGACATGGCTTTATGTACTGTAACACGGTGTTAATGTTTGTGTAAGTTTTACTGTCTTTTCTTGAGATAGCAGATAAAGCTACTCTGAAGCCTTCCTGATACTGCATTGTGGGCTCTAGGAAAGACAGTCTCTGATGGAGCATGGCCTGTCCAAAAGGGCGCTCCCTGGGCTCCGCTGGCCTGTGTCCTGGGATGCCAGCTTGTCCCTTCATGGTCCTCCCTTGCCAGTCAGAGTCAGCTGCATTAACAAAGTTAGAACTTTTTCCTTGTTGGTACTGGGGATTGAACCCAGGGGCTCTCTACCACTAAGCTACATCCTCAGACCTAGCTTGTTTTAGTATTTTATTTTTTGAGACAGGGTCTTACTAAATTGTCCATGTAGGACTCGAACTTGTGATCTGCCTGTCTCAGCCTCTCAGTGCTGAGATGACAGGTATGAGCAGCACATGGCTAAGCCCCATTTGAGAGACGGAACATCTGAACTCTTGCCTCATGGAAAATAGTTCTTTATTTTCATAGGCTCAGTAGCCCTGTGCTGATGAGGCCATTTAACTACTGAAATCTTACATTTTCCCATCTAAACAAGATGTTCCTCTCTTTGCCCTAACGCTGCGAGGGTCCTTCCTGCTGTAGCTGTTCCTTCCTTCCCTCCTGAGCAGCTGGGTCCTGCTGGGCTCAGTGACCAGGGTCCATGCTTGGCTGGGCTGCTGAGCCTCTATCCGAATGTGAGGAGTGTGGGAGGCTGCTGCACCAGAGCTGTCAGGAGGGAAACAGGCAGAGGTTCTGCCCTGGCATCCTGGCTACAGGGAAGAGTCGTGGTGGGAAACAGCAGGGTAACGCTTGTCCTGGGGAACCTGGGCTTTCCTCCCACCTCAGAGTTGTTCTGCTAACACTGCTTGGCAGCTGCTCCAGAGCAGTGCCCACTGGGACAGCCGAAGTCTTCTCCTCTGGGCTGTTTGCCTACTTTAGACCTGCGTGCGTGTCGCCTTCCCCAGGGCAAACCTTCCAAGACAGCCGTCCAGCTTTCTGTAAAAGGCCCCAGAGTGACCTACTGGCTTCGGCCTCGGGGTGGATGAGAAGAAGGCCACAAAGAGGGGAGAAGTTTCCTCAAGAGAGAAGACATCCACTTCCCCAAGAAGTGCACCCCAGGGAGAGGGCCAATGAGGGGGAGGAGGCACAGGAGGCTGCCAGATTCCTCGGGGTCAAGGCCTTCTGCGTGCACACTGCATTCCAGTGGGCGGCAGGTGCTTTGGCATGTGCACAGCAGAGCTCCTATCTCAGCTGCAGCAAGGACTTTGGCCCAGTGCGGGGTCAGCACTGTGCTTTCTGTTTGCCTGATGAGTGCTTTAAAGTGCTTCACATAGCTGGGATGGTGGCCCATTGCCTGCAGTCCCCGCTACTCGGGAGGCTGGGGCAGGATTACTTGGGCTCATGAGTTTGAGATTAGCCCGGACAACACAGACTCGTCTCAAAAAAAGAAAAAGTAATTTGCATATAATTAGTTTTCTTGCCACTCCTGGGGTAGGCAAGGAAGATAGCCCTGTTTTATAAATGGAACAACTAAAATGCTCAAGAAATGATTAAAACCCAGTAGTGGTTATCTAGCCAGGCCTCTTGTGCTCTAGATATTTGGAGGTATGTGGTGTTGGCAAGTCACCCATACTCACGTGTCGTGCATAGTGACGCATACTCAAACCCTAAATCCTCACCAGAGATCCTTTCAGGGAACAACAGAGTAATATCTTTCCTGGTCTGAGCAGTTTGAATTTTCTTTTTTGTGAGGTGAAGGGTTAAGATAGGGTCTCCCTGTGCGGCCCAGGCTGGCCTCAAACTCATGTCGATCCTCCTGGCTCAGCCTCCCAAGTGCTGGGGTCACAGGTGTGCACCACCATGCACAGCAGTTCCCATTTTCAGTGACAAGATTCCCAAAGCAAAGGCAGAGGGCCTCCCTTCCCAGCCCCCCACTCCCCTGATCCCAGCGGAGGGGTCTGAAGCAATCCTGCTTTTTCCTGCTGTGTGGTAGCGTCTGAGAAGTCTTAAAAAAAACACCATCTTTGAGAAGGAAAGCAGTGAACTCTACACCTGACAGAAGAGGGCCACATTCCGAGTATGTCTGCTACAGGCCTGAGGATGAGGTAGCCTGCCACAGCCACAGGGCATCCGGGTCAGTGACGGTGCATACAATTCCTGACTTCTCAGACCCCCTTCTCCCCGTGAGTGGGCAGGGTGGAAAGAGATGACACCGATTTCTACAGCTGAAGGACAAGCTGGTGGCAGCTACAGGAGCCCAAATTTCTCATTCATGGGGTCAAAGGGTCAAAAGCTTACACTTCACACTGGGGTCTTTCGCCAAAGACTTGTTCTTGTCCCTAATGCATATTAGTGTCCTCTGGTCCCCGAGGAGGACCCAGCACCATCCCCAGGTGCTCGGGCTCACCTTCCATGATGGAGATGTGGACAGCTCTTCTGCGGGTCCTGGGGACGCTGCTAAGCCGAGGGCCATGGGTGATGGAGGGGCAGCTCCGGCTGGGCACCATCCCCGCTCTAAGGTGAGAGAAAAAGAGCCCAGGTCACTCAGGGCACAGGGAACGGCTGTATTGTTTGGGTCCTTTTCTTTTCTTTTTTTAATCTTTAGTACTTTCTCTTTGCTTTTGGCCCCTGGATCCCAGACAGAGACGTTTAACTTCACCTCCTCTTATCCAAGACTGATTTTTTTTTTCTTTTGGGTGGTACTGGGGATGAAACCCATGGGCTTTGCACTGAGCCACATCTCCAGCCCTTTCTTTTTTTTTTTTTTTGTACCAGGGAATGAACTCGTGTCCTTCCGCTTGCGAGGCAGGCAGTGGAACCACTGAGCTAAATCCCTGGCCCTAGCCCTTTCTAAAATTGTTTTTAAATTTTTAGGCAAGGTCTTGCTAAGTTTCCCAGGCTGGGCTTGAATTTGTGATCCTCCTCCCTCAGCCTCCCAGAGTGCTGGGATGACAGGCGCATGCCTGGCTTCTGTCTGGACCTCTAAGTGTGGCAACAGTGTCACTGGTCTGGGGCAGGACCACTGGGAGTAGAGCTCCAAGGTGAGCAGAACTCCTGAACCTGTCACAGATGGATCCTGGCAGCCTCCCCTGGCTTCCAGCAGAGGCTGCCGAGTGGGGCTGTGTGTAGAGGGTGGTCAGTAAAACTTTTATTCCAAGGTGGAGGTCACTCAGCAGACCTGAGCCTTTTGGCCAGTCATGTTCTTTCTGAGCTTTACCAGGTTCCATCCAGGAGGTAGGCTTCTGGGAGTGTATGACTTATGTGTATACATGAGGCATGAATCCTGAAATTGTTTTAGACCCCATGAGGCAAATCGGTAAGGATGTCACAATGAACACTGCTACCTTCTCACATCCTCCATGGGATTTGGTCAGTGTTGAGATGTGTGAGGCAGAAAGGAATCACTGAGTGCAGGGCACCTAGGGCTGGTGCACTGTCTGCAGATTGCCTGCCCTCCCTTCTTCGATTACTGTCATGGATCAAAAACCTCTCCCCACACTGCCAGCAGAGACAGGTTTCTTTACCTACCCTACTCCTGACTCTTCTGGTAGTCACTGTAGCCAGGAACTTCACAGAACTCAGATTGCTAGATCTTTTGTGTTTCTGGAATCTGAGCTGGAGCTAGCTTTTCAGGAAGCCTGGTGGCCTACCTGTGTATTTCTGGTGGCTCCCGTTTGATCTTGGCACTTGATTCCATTACTTCCTTTGCAACTCGGCCACTGTAAGTAGTAGTATAAAAAGAAGCAGCAAAAATGAGTCAGTGTTACAGGACTGGGCTCCTTGCCAACATCTCAGATGCTGTGGCCCAGTTGGGAAATGGCCTCTTTGGCTCACCCCTTCCCCAGTGCTGTGGTCACTCAAAAAGCCTTGCTTCCTGGGGTAAAGGGTTCTAAAGTGGCATGAGTTATCTTAGAATAGTCTCTGGGATCCTCCATTCTCATTTAGCAATGATTCTTCCCTGTCTAACATATTTCAAATAACAGCATCAAAATCAAAACCCTTTAGACAGTGAGACGTGAAAAGAATTGTTAGGGTTCTTGGTACTTTTGTAATGGAAAGAGGAAATGAGACACATACAAAACCCTACAGACAAACGGCTGTAGGGAAGGAAAGAGCAAGATGGGAGAGCTGGACGGAAGCTCCAGCTTTTCTGACAGTTCCCATTTCTTTGTCCTCTAGGATGAGGTCCACTTAGTGACTGTTCTTCAGAGAAGTCTGAAAATAGGTCCATAATGGTTACTTACTGTCACTATTTACCTGTATCGGAACCGGCTCCCTTTAAAGAATAAATTGCTGCTGGACACTGTGCGGACTTGGCTTGACTTCTCCAGCCTGCAGCAAGGCAAAGTCAGTATGACCAATGGCCTGCACCCAGCCCTGCATCTGTCACCAAGGCAGAATATCTGCTCCTTTCAAAGACTACTTAGGGGGCCCGGGATTTAGCTCAGTGGTTCCGGCACCTGCCTTGCAAGCGCAAGGTCCCGAGGTCAATCCCGGTACTAAAAAACCAAACAAAGACTACTTAGGAAACTTCAAGAAGGCTCGTTGTAGCCCATGCCTGTCTGACTCAGGATGAGACTGCACACGGCCAGCCAGTGGCCCTCCCATCTCAGCACTTGGGACAGTCACCTGGAAGCCCACTATAATGACAGGACAGTGAAGGATCCCCAAGAAGACCCTTGGGGATTGACCAGGGGGACTGAGAACAGATGCTAGGGCTAATGGTAAGGGGAGTAACAACACCACCCATGTGTTCCCAGCCAGGCCATTTATTAGCATGTGATGTCTCTTGGTCTCAGTCTTCTTCTCTGTAAAATGAAGCTGGGAGTACTTGACTTTAGGGGTCCCTTCCAGTCCCAGTATTTGATGCCAGTGTTCTATCTGGTAAGCTTGAGCAGAGCTGCCCAGAGAGATCTCCCAAGATGGGACTCACCTACAACACCTCCAGGTACTCACGGACTGATCCAGTCATGGACTGAGGGGGTCTGAAACTTTTGCCCTGAGTTGGAAGTGAGTACTTAGGAAGCAGTCCCTGGAAATCTTGGAACAGCTCCTAGGAGACACCAGCCCCTGCTGTCTCGAGGCTCTGTGTGGACCCAACCTACTGGCCCTTTGCCTGAACATATTCTACAGTCAGATCCAGGTCCCTTCAAGGCACAAGGACAAAGGAAGGACTGGAGACAAAGTCAAAGTAGCTGCTACCAAAGAATCAGTGTAGGGTAGAAGCTTTTGACCTTTAGATATGAAGGAGGCCATTGGAAGCAATGGAACATTGGAAGCCTCAGTTTCCAGCAGGGCTGATTGGTCTTGAAAAGACTCAGAAACTGAGTTTGGTCACAGATTTGGAAGCTAACTTCCATTCTCATGATGCAGATGGAAAAATAAAGTCCATAAATAAGGTGCTGGAGGCATGAAAAGGCAGAGACTGAGAGGTTGTTTCCCTTTGGATTAGTCCATTTTAGCAGAGACAAATGTACTGTCCCCAGGACAGGGGAGCTCAGTGTGCAGCCAGCTCCTGTCTACTGAGGAAACCATAGGAGCCACACCCTAGGGTGTTGCCTCAGCCCCACAGTAGGTGTTTGTATCTCAAGCTGCTTTCTCTAGGTGCACATAACTGGCCAAACCTAGGCTTTGTCCTCATAGGCAAAAGGGAGGTGGCAGTAAGATAAAAAATATTTCATTGGCTTTCTCTGGACAGCTGGGACTAAGCAGGAGGGAGATCTGACCATGCTACAGTCTCTCTGGGGTGTCCTCATAAGAGGAAGAAGGAAGCCACTTAGGTCAGAATGAGTGTGGGCTGTTGTTCACCCTTGCAGCTAGTGTCAAGTGGACCTGCCCAAAAAACAACCTGGGTTCCTGGCTGGAATTCTGGAGCAGCCAGTGGGTAGCAGTGCCTGTTCCTCCGAGGAGCATGGTGCCAGTCAGCTCAGGGAACGTCGGATCTCTCCACGATCCAAGTCATGGGGAGCAGACCTATCTTCCTTAAGAAACAAACTGTTTTCTCTTCCACTATAGGGGACTGGATCCAGGACCTCATGCATACTAGACAAGTAGTTTACTGCTGAGCTACATCCACATGTAAATTTTTAAATTTTGCTACATTTAAATTTTTAAATTTTTGAGATAGGGCCTTGGTGAGTTGCCCAGGCTGGCATTGAACTTACGGCCCTCCTGCCTCAGCCTCTCACTACACCCAGCAAGAAGCACCTTACAGACATATGATCCATTATTTCATGTTTGAAACAAGACCAAGAGGTTTAGTGAAGAATGTTACTTGGCCTCACTCTAGTTTCTCTATGGGCCATTTCTTTGCTCCCTAATGCCTTTTTTTTTTTTTTTTTTTTGGTACTGGGGATCAAACTCAGGACCTTGTACTCGTGAGGCAGGTGGCAGCACCACTGCGCTAAATCCCTGGCCCCCCCAATGCTTTTTTTTTGGTACCGGGGAATCAAACTCACAACTTTGTGCTTGTGAGGCAGGTATGGTGCCATTGAGCTAAATCCTGGCCTCCCTAATGCATTTTTTTTTTTTCGGGTACCGGGGATCGAACTCTGGACCTTGCGCTTGCAAGGCAGGTGGCGTCCACTGAGTTAAATCCCCAGCCCATATAACCCCTTTCTTAATCAAAGAAAATTGAACATGGAAGCCTCTTGTACTTCATGAATCTGTTGTATGCAAGTTTTGTCTTTGCCCCCAACCCAATTTCTCAGTATCAGTCAAGCTCTTGCCCACCTCCAGCCACACTAGCCAAGGTTCTGCCACTTGGCTTGCACTGGCAACACCTTTGGTGGTGACACATCAGGAGGGGCTGGCACCAATGGCAGACCCAAATCTGTCCAAGCCTAGGGCTTGGGTCTAGGCCAGGGTGCTGCTTTGGGCTTTACCTGGTCCATTAAGGAACTGCTGTGTTTTACACCTTCCAAGGCTCTGAATGGTTTTCAGGACACCTTGATTCAAATCAGACACTATTGGCCTTTTCTGGCCCAAGCCTTATTCCAAAAAAGACCAGAATTTCTCTGCCACTGGGGGACTGTTGAAGGACATCTCAAGGTAGCTTAGCAGAAATGCACCCCCAGAGCTGGGCTGTGTACCCTCAGGGGCCCAGAGAGCTAGCAAGTGGTCTGGGGTTTCCTAGAAAGACAGCTCTATCATCCCATCTTTGTCTCCTTTCCAAGGTTTCTCAAGGGTTGCCTGTCCTCCCTCTAAAAGCAGCTTCTGGGACTTTGCCCTGGACAGACGGTGCCCATCATCTGTGTCCACTCACTTGTAGAAGGCTTGGTTCTCGATTCCACATTTCCAGAGGTGCTTGCAGGCTTCTGGAGTCGGAGCAAAATATGTGAGAATAATTTTCTTTTCCTGCAAAAATTCCACATAGAAATGGCTGAGTGTGGTTGAAGAAGTAAAGGTAAAGCAGCCCAGGACATGGGCCCTTGAGCTGCTGGAGGCCCCTGTGCAGCTGTGGGCCAGCTGGAGGGAAGGACCCTCTCTCTGGGGTATCACCTCCTGACCAGTCCAGCCAGACTAAGACTTGGGGGGCACAGGCTAGACCAGGAGAGCCCTTAGTAAGAAGTGGCACTTGCCTCTAGAATTTATTTCCATATGGAAGAAAAAGAATCTGACTTTGTTTTGTTTTTGTTTTTTAAGACAGGGTCTTGCTCTGCAGTTCAGGCTGGTCTTGAACTCACTATGTAGCATAGGCTGGCTTTGAACACGTGGTGATCTGCCTCAGCCTTCCGAGTGCTGGAGTCACAGGTGTGCACCACCACGCCCAGCAAAGAATCTGACTTTGGACTACAGTTCTAGAGGTAGGGACCTCTCAGTGAACCTCTGGGTATCATCAGCATCCCTGAGGAGTCCTTGCTCTGGGACCTTCCACCCCTTCTTCTCTCACCTCTTGATCCTGAACTAGTTGTGGCTGAGCTCTACCTGGACCCCTCAGACTTGGTTCTGGCCACCAGGAGCCGCTATAGTGGCCCAGTCCTCCCCAAAGAGAAGGAAGCCAGCACTCACCTCTTTCTGACTTACATATAAATAGAAAGTCTTTCCTTCAAATTTCAGCTTGGTCACCTCGTTCCTAGAAGCACAAAGAGAGCACCTATTGCCTCACTGTAGGGCTCTTCCTCACAGGTAAGTCTTACAGATGCATAGCCCATCCCAGCTGGAAGGGGCTCCAGGCACAGACACAATTGTAGCCAAAATTAGAACCAAAACAAGACAGCGCAGTGGCCTTAGAGAACAGTTGTTGGAACAGTTCAATTCACAGTGTTCTGGTTAATCACACTATAGTAATAGGGTGATAGGAGGGTTTCAGGCTCATCAACAGTGGCTGTAAAAGGGAGACATTTGCATGGGAAGTGAGTCTAGGTAGTGTTTGGGGTCATTTCAGGATTTGGCTCATAACACAGGTGCATTATCTGGATGGGACTATCAGATGTAAGATGCCACAGGTAGCTGATGAGGCCAAAGTTCAAGATACACCAAATAATGAAGTACAATGCAACCAGGCTCTGAGGGAGCTGAGTCTTTGAGGTGACTGCCACTAGATGGAAAATGCAGTTCAATGCAGACAGATGTCAAACAATCTCAGGGAGGGGCAACATACCAAAGAGAGAACAGATTACATGAACAGTCATGCAGCGTACTGACCAGGAAAGGGGCTTAGGGGTTATTGTAGAAAAATCCTTGAAGCCACCAGCCCAGTGAATGGCTGCAGTAAAAGAGGCAAACAGGATACTGGGGTACGTCACCCGAGGGACAGACACAAATCAGAAGTGACAGGGTTACTGTACATGGTACAACCCAGACCTCACCTTCATGCACTGTTCTCAGCCTTGGTGACATTTACAACATGGAAGGGACTGTGGCCCACAGTGGATGCCCCAGAGAGCCAGAGAAGCAGGCCTCAGAGTCCGCCACCCCTCAGCTCCCCTATCTGCCCAGCATGGCTGCCCTCAACAGCACCACAATGCTCTTGTGGGAATTCTTATTTTTCTGTTCATCTGAGACCTCTAAGGAGGTGATCATTCTTCTCTGCCTCCCTTGATGAGTCTTTATAGTTTCTGGGGAGGTTCCTCGATACCCTGGTAAGTGGTAGAGAGGCAGTAACCATGTACCAAATTTACTGCTGGACAAAATGCACGGGACAAGAAAACCTCTTTTCTTTGTGGTTTTGGAAACCATGGCCGGGTCGGGATGACAGTTCACAGCTTCTGACCACACCAGTTCTGAGCTGTCAACCATACGGTCTTCCCTCCCTGTTTGACTCCCTCTCAGTCAACCAACCATCAGTCTCACATTCACGGGGAATACAGTACATGTCCAGCGGTTAATATGTAGGCAACCACACAGATCACTGAGGCTCTGAAAGCAGATAAAAACTTAAGTCTTTTTCTGGAAGAGAGGTTTGGCTTATAGCTATTATTATAAAGTTGAGACTGGCAAAGAAGAGACTTCCTGAAGAAGAAAGAATGGGCCTGGGAAGTAGGGGAGTGCTGTGGTTTCCGGAGGGGCAGAAGTAACTTAGGCATTGCAAGGGCCTGCAGCAAGTGCACCCTACTGCTCTCTAGCTAATCACGCCCCCATCAGGGACCTCCTGAGAAGCTGCCCTGGCCACAGTGAGGCCCTCTAAGGACTGTCACATACCCTTGATGTACCCAGGCAGAAAATGACCCACGTGAGGAGAATGGTGGCCAAATCCTGCTTATCATCTTTTTCAGAAAAGAAGTTTGTTGCACAGGAGAACACAGGCCTTCATGTCTTCACCCAGAGAGCAGAGTGATGTGGCCCGGGGAGCCTCCAAAACAAGTTGGCTAGGCAGTGCCATGGCAGCAGCTGCCTTGGGGAGGGAGCCCAGCTCTGCAAGTCTGAGGCACAATTTCTATAGCACATGGTTGGTCATTTTATTGCCATTCTTCACAAGAACAGTATGGGTTGGAACGGCAGCTGGGTTCTGCTTGTCAGCTCAGTGGGAGCCAAGGAAGGCAGAGGAAGAGAGGCCTGCAGCACCCAGAGAGAGTTTACCAAAAAGCAGTGCTGTACTCAGCCTCCTCACAGAGTTGCTGGAGAAGTAAAGGCACTAAGTAGTCTTTCCAGACAGAGGGACGCCACCAGCTTAGACATGACAGGCAGAGGCCCCAGAAGAAATGGAGGGCTGAGAATATGCAAAGTGTTCCGGTGAGGCCGACAGATGTCTGTGTAGGTCAGCCATCATTTCTAGGATATTTAAATGTCAGTCCACAAACTGGAGCCTATGCCCAGCCATACAGTAGAACAGACCTCAAGCAAAAACAGAAAGAAAAAAAGGTGGGCAAAAGAAGTTGTCTCACAGTCAAGGCAGGCTCTTGGCCACCAGAGTGGGAGTGGGGAGAGGGTGGGGGTGAGGCAGCAGCATCTGAGCTCCTGCAGACCTGAGAGCCACAGTGGGTGTGGGACTGAGGAGGGAGCTTTGCAGTGTGGCGGGTGCAGGGGCCACTGTGTGTGAGCTGCTCCTGGTCAGCAGAGTAGGGAAGGGGCTGGGCTAACTTTGAAGATGCCTGGCCACAGCACTTGGCAGGTGATGGCCCCAAGGACTCAGCTCTCCTGGGAACTTTGCCTCCCTCATATGGGTTCCAGCTCGGGGCCTCCCCAGAAACCAGGCCTCTACACTCCCTCTGGAGAGGCTGTTGGCTCTTGGGGATATCATTTTGGGAGAACAAGATGGCTAAGAAGAGACTACTACCTCTATCAGGCACCATTGTCAACCCAAGCTCGGCTGAGTGCTCCGAACCGTAATTCCTAATCACAGACAAAGGACATGGGGACCACAGCCCACCCAGGTCATGGGGGTAAAGCACCTGTTTTGGAAATGAAGATGCTCACCATTTAATGAAATGGACCCTCTTGTTTCCTTGAAGAACGACAAACCCAAAAGGAGTGAAGGCCAGAAATGCAGCATTTCCTGACACATCCTGCAACACAGAAAGACTTCTCATTGGGATGATGTGGGCACAGAGGGGACAGGGTGAGACACTCGGCTGTGTGCGAGGGAGGCAGGTCACCACCTGTTAGTCGGTCACAGAGTGAAGGGCAGGGCTTCTCAAGCATGCCTTGCCATTCCCCAGCTATGTGACAATAGGCAAAATACTTACTGAGCTCCAAAGGCCTTATCCTCAGTCATAGATGACAATGACACCAAGCTCATGCATTGCTGGTGGGACTGTAAAGTGGCACAGTCACTTTGCAGCAGCTTGGAGGTTCTTCATGTTATTAAACAGAGCTACCACCTGTGACCCCCAATTCCACTCCTGGTGTGTTCCCCAGAGAACAGAAAACGTGTGTCTCTACACAGAAACTCGTGCACACACGTTCACAGTAGCCAAGCAGCGGAGACACCTGACTCACCTTGCTGCCTACCACAGTGTCTGTCAACTGATCAGTGAACAAGAAAGTGTGATGCTGCGGTACAACAGAACGTCATTTCGCAGTAAAAAGGAATGAAGTCCGGCTGCATGGTACATTTAGGGTCTTTGCTCACATCATGCCAAGTGAAAGAAGCCAGTTACCAAACATTGCAAGTGGAATAATGCTATTTATATATGATGTCCAGAACAGGCAAAGACACAGAGACAGAATGATTACTGGTTGCCAGGGGCTAGAGGAGAGAGATGGGCAGTGACTGCTAAGGGCACAGTGACTGCTAATGGGCACCTTTGGGTGAGGGTCTGAAAATGTTCCAAAATTAGCAGTGATGGTTGCATATAACTGTGAATACACGAAAGGCCACTGGCTTGCACTCTAAAAGCGTAAATTTTATGATATATGAGTTATACCTCAAAAAGCAGAGTAGAAAGAGCAGAGTATTAAAGAGCAGAGTGGGTGACGGTCCTGACACTGGGCTTCCTCAGGGAAGTGAAGAACTCAGCAGCAGCTGGCCGAGTGGAACAGGCACCACTGTCTCTGAGGTTCGGGGAGCAGCAGGGCTGCTGAGCCAGGCAGGAGAGGACCCCAGAAGACAGGCCACACTTCCCACAAGTGGGGAAACAGGCCCCAGAAGGCAGAGATGGATTGCAGGATATGCCTGCTCAGGGGGCTTCCTTTGTTATGGGGTGTCGGGGAGAGAATCTGCCACATCTGAGCAGTGATGGAAATGGCCAGGAAGCTGCTGTGAAGTTGGCCGGGTGTGCCAGGGAGTCTCCCAGGCTGTAGCTCATGGTGCTGTGAACCCAGGTACCTGCTTTCCTCGCCTACTTGCCTTCCTTGCACACTGGCATGGGTCCTCAGCCTGACTAGTCCTATGCCCATGGGACTCGCTTCAGGGAACAATGCAGAGCTGCCTCAGAGTTGCCTCTTGGAGTCAGGTTTGTAAGAATACCTGGGTGCAGGGAGTGAACTAAAAGCACATTTTGTAAACATTTTCATTAATATCTGGTTACCACTGTCCTTTCCTCAGGGTCTGTCAAGATCTGAGATCCAGACTCTTCGCTGCAACCTCAATGTCATATAACCACGGGCACAGCAAAACACTTAAAAATAACTGGGATGGAGAAGCTATGAAGCCACAGGTCTGGGCCTCCTGCTTGTCATCAGTGCCTGGTGGTAGCTATTAATATCTGAGTACCAGGCACTGCACACAAACACTGTTCCTGCTGAGAGGTCCCAGGGCCAGGCTGGCAGGCCTGGTAGAGGTGTGGGTCAGAGCAGGGTGGGTTCTGGGCAGAGTGGCCAGGAGAGGCGGGTGAAGGAGGCAGACTGCCCCAGACAGAGGTGGGCCTGGGAGGAGTTCTGCACACTGTCAGGCTGGACCCAAGGAAGTCCTGAAATTGTAGGCTTAGAAAGACAAGAGACAGGTTCCAGGGTGGGGACAACTGGATTAGACTGAGGAGGTATGACAGTGGGTTGGGGCAGAAGGACGTCTGTGAGCCACAGTGAGGGGTGCACAGAGAAGGGCTTCTGCGTACAGCCACAGTGCCATGGGCTCTGGGAGGGTCCAGTCTGGCTGTGTCACATACCTTGTGACCAAGGACAAGCCCCTTAATTTCCCCAGGTTTTAGACTCCTCATAAAATTAGGGTTGGCCTTACCTATTTCCTAAGTTATGGCCAGTAGGCTCCCAATAACATTAATGGATATGTTAATGTTGTAACTGCCAAGTTTGTTGAATTTAATACAAATCCTTTGTATCAAGAGACCTAACAGTCTACCATTTTTTCCCTGATGTTGACAGATTTAAATCGTGCTAGTTAGGAAATGAGTGTGAGAGGGGAGAATAAGACAGGAGGAGTCAGTCAGTGTTATGGTGCCATGGAGAAGGACTGGCTGACTAGCAGGCTGAAGTGAGTGCAGGAGGAGGGACCAGAAGCTGAGGCCTTTGAGTCATCCAGGTCCTGGCCTCCCTCTGGCCAAAGCAGAGGGAAGAGCAGGGCTGGGTGCATCATCTAAACGCCTCAGGGCGGCCTCCTGGTGCAGGCAGGACTGGAGTTGAGGGGAGCCCTGGATCGGGCTGAACTGGGTAGAAAGCCCATTGAGAAACCATAGCACTCCAATAAGTAACAATGGTACCTCTGCAATCCTGGCCCAGTCACATGAAGAGGCAACTCTCCAAACCAGGTGCAGATGAAGGCCAGAGTAAGACCCCAGAAAGACCCCAGAACCTGGGCAGTGGTGGAGCTGAGGGCAGCAGAATGCTGGCTGCTTGGCTGTGTCCTGTGAGGCTCAGCAGTGATGACAGGTGGACCTGGAGTCATGGAGAAATCTCACATCTGTACCAGCATGGAAGCAAGAGCAGAGGGCCACTCTGACCCCTCTGGGGTTCCCAGTTTCTCCTAACCTCCTGTTCCCAGTGTGAGCCTGCTCCGGGGTCTGTATGCAAGGTGACAAGTCGTGTGACAGCGAGGGTGGAGGGAGTGCCAGGTGCAGGGTCACCTGTTCTTCAGGCCTTCCTTCCATCATTCCAAGGCGGGGTCTGTCTTTCCCCCGTCCCCTTCCCATCCTCATGAGACCAGGGCCCACAGGACTGAGCCTGCAGTGGACCTGGGGTGGGATAAACATGGGTCTGGACAGGGTCAGAGGGAGAGCATAGCCTCCCTCTACATCCAGCAAGAGTAGGAAGCATCTGGTTCACTTCTCCAGTTGTGAGTTAAGAAAAAGTTCTGACATTTTTACCTTTGTGGAAGGAGCTTCCGTTTTGACTAGGATCCCATCTCTGTTTCTTACTATGTCCTGTGACTTACCTAACTTCTCCAAACCTCCGTTTCCTCATCTGTAAAACTAGGCAGTAGCATATACCTGGAGAATTACTGCCATCTGGTTTTAGAAGACTGCCCGGGCCTCACTGTGGGGACTGGCAGCGGTGTTCTTGGCGAGGGGTTGGTTTGCTGCTTTTCTTCCATGGGCTCACACGAAGCTCATCATCAAACTCAACCTGCATTAACACAGCACCGCCACAGGGACTCCCAGGACCATTATTCTGCTCAGAAAAGGGGTTCTGGAGATCAAAGCACTGACTGGTTCCTAGAAGCAGGAACCTCTGGCCACTTCTGCCCAGTCCCCATGTTTCTACCTCCAGATACAAACAAAGCAGCTTTCCGTCTCCTGAGAGTCGGGACCATGGCACTCTTGCCAGGCAAGCCTCCCGGTCATTTTGTGGCCTCTCTGGGGCATGACACAGCTGGTTCAGTCTTGGCGGGTGAAGCCTTTATCAGACTTGAAAGCATGGGAAATGATTCCACATGCCCATTTCTGAAAAAGCTTTTGGTTGGGAACCTCAAGTTGTCCTGAAAATCACCCTTTCCAAATACATGGCCAGGAGAAACAAAATGCAAATGAAGAGGCAGTGGTGTGACCCCATGACAACTGAGAAATGAAGTTCTTAGTGGAAACTTGTCATCTGCGAGGCTTAGGTCAAGTTCTTCATTTCAGCAGTGAGTCTGCTGCCCTCCCTACAGCACAGCCAAGAGGGGCTCCCCCAAGGTGGAAGAGTTGCCTCTCCTTCTGTCCTATTCCTCTTGAAGTCAGGGGCAACTTGTCAAGATGGCGCAAGGGGCTCTTTTTTGTTTGTTTTTTGAGACAGAGTCTTGTTAAGTAGCCCATGCTGGCCTTGATCTCACAGTGATCCTCCTGCTTCAGCCACCCAAGTGCCAACACACCGGACAAGGTTCTTTTTTTTGGTACCAGGGATTGAACTCGGGACCTTGTGCTTGCGAGGCAGGTGGCGGAACCACTGAGCTAAATCCCTGGCCCTCTGACAGTATTCTTATTTAGAAAGGAGATGAGGGCTGAATGATGAAAATAATGATTTTACTTTAAGGGCAGAGGAACAAACAGTGCAATTTTATTTTTGTGATCTAACCTAGATTCTGCTGAAACCAGTTTTCTTCTGGTCTGTACAAAGTGGGCATGTTGGTAAACTTACGTTAAATTTTATATGATGATTACAGAAACCTTACAGGTCTGTGTCTTCGCTGTATCAAATTGGCAGCCAGCCATGCTTAGTTCCTAAATAAATGTCACCTCTCCAGAAGGAAGACCATGAGCAGTAACTGAAAAGCATAGCTCTGAGACTCTGACACTCTGGTTGTGACTCTGAACACTGTCCTTGTCAGTGACTGCAGACTTTGCGCATGTCACCTCCTCCCCATCATGGCCTTTATTAACTCCGCCTTCAAAGCCTCAGAGAAGGACAAGAATATCTTGGTACTGATGTGATAAAGATGAACTGAGATCAGGTATGAAGTGCCAGGTGTGTTCAGGCTTTCAATGGTGGGACCTTTGAAACTCCTAATAAAGGCTGCTGCAGGCTGATGTCTGTGATGGAGTAACTACTCCTTGAACCTGAACAGGTCACCCTGTCAGTTGGCCACAGCACCAGGCTGCAGGAGATCAGGCAGATAACCAGCCTCAGCACCAGCTTGGAAGGAACAGCAGCTCCTGAGTGGGCAGTAATGGTCAGGGCCAGGGGACAGACCAGTAATGGACCTCTTCTCTCCACAGCTGTATGGGTGGGTCTGGGGGCCTAAGAGGCAGAGTTCTGGACAGTCTCATACAAGTGAGGAGCTGGGCACTTCCAGTTGCCCCTACTGGGTTTGCTGAGTTCCTCCTCTTGGTTCTGGGACCAGGTAAGGACACTCTGGGCAAAAGAAACCATCAGCATTAGGACCGACTGCAGCTTCTTAATCCGTACAGGAGAACACAGTCCAGCAGCAGTGCACTCTCATTTAATTATCAGAATGATTCCTCCTTCTCTGTCTTCCCTAGGGCTGTGCGCCCCAGATTCTCTGAGCCCAGTAATTGTCTCTCTGTTAATAGAAATCATCAGTATTTATTGCACCGTATGCACTGTAACAACATTAAGGGAAGCACTTGACGGCACATCACTGAAGTGACTCTGCTTAGTGATAAGAGGAAAGACTCCCTCACTGCTCTGCCTGCTCGGGAGGGGAGGGAGGAGGAAGCCGTTGCCAGAGGTTGTGAGTGAGGAGAGCCCCAGGACAAGGAGTGGAGGCCCATGAGGTGACTGCTCTCACCTTCTCTCCAGGGTGTCTCCTTGGGAGTGTCTGTCCTTTGTAGGACACACACCCACAGGAAGCAATTTAAGCCTGCCATCCAGGGCCTTCTCATTTATAATCCTGGGAGTATAACATCCACCCCCGAGGCTGGCTGAGGAGGATTCGGTGAGAGACACCAGAAGGAAGAACCCCATGGGGCCTGCTGTGGAAAGTGGGCCAGGGTTGGTGCTGTGATACAGGGGACTGGCCCCCACACAAGGCACGAAGGCTGCCTCCTCTCCAGCTCCCTGGGCCCAGTGATGGACAAACTCACCAGTCGTGGCTGAGTTGGGAGCCCACAGTTCGGGGTACATGTGGATCTGGGCTGGCTACCAGGCTGGCTGCCACAACCCTTGGTTTCCAGACACCCATGGGCAACAGCAGAGACTCCTACCTACCTCGGTGGGTTGTCATGCTCACTTCACTGCCTGCCCACCCGTGTGTGCTGTAGCCCTGCCCAGGGCCTCCCACCCTTTCTGCATGTGTGGCCTCAAGGGGACCGGGCAGGTTTGGACCCAAAGAGGTGATCTGGCACCGTTAGTTATGGGAGCAGTTGTTGAATACCTACTGTGTACTTAATCACTGGTAAGGAGAGTAAGGCTCAGAAGCCTTAAAAGGCCCCAGTAAGTGGAGCCCAGGGCTGCAGGGCAGGGCTAGCTGCCTCCCAAACTCTCCTCACTTTCTTTACTTCCAGGAGTGTCAGTAATTGATGGAGTGGTTCAAATTACTTCTGTTTTGGGGACATCATTTAGGGAGCTTTGCTAATTTGTAAGTATCAATATGTTAATTCCTTGGTAGAAACAGGGATGGATGTGTTTTCCGGCATTTCTGGCCTCAGACACTCTGAGTTATCTGGTAGTGGACTGTGCTGGTGGGCAGGCAGCTGTGGGGTAGGGAAGATGAGCAGGGCCTCTGAATGCGGCATGTCCTCAAGGCTCATGTCAAACCCTAGGTAAGGCCGAATCACTGTTAGCTCACCCGCAGGCCAAGGGAGACACTGCTTTGCTCGCTTTGCTCCCATACCACTGTCCTCCTTAGTTTTTATTCTATTTGTTATGGCTCAAATTGTGTCCCTGTTGAATTCCCATGCTGAAATCCCCCGTCCCTCTGAATGTGACCTTATCTGGAAACAGGCTCTTTACAGAGATCATATTAACTTTAATGACGTTAAACCCAGGTCAGTGGTGTGGGCCTTACTCCAGGACAGCTGGTGTCCTTGTAAGTGGGACGATCTGTACACAGATAAGAACACAGGGAAGACAACGTGGAGACCCAGGGAGAGGACAGATCCTCTCCTCAGAGCCTCAGACCCACCCACCCCGACGGCACCTGGGTGTCACACTCCTAGCCTCCAGATCAGAGACAACAAAGCTGTGTTGAGGCCCCCAGTCAGATTACAGCAGCCCTGGGAAAAGAACGCACCAATTCTTCTAATTCTTCCTTCAAACTGGCAGTGCCCCCTCTCCTATCAGATAGAAGAGGTTGGTGGTGTCCGGCTCCCACCTGGTACTGTCTCCTTCGGACCAGGCAGAGAGTGGGTTTTACTTGTGGCAGCCCAGCCTCTCCGGTAGTGGAAGGAAAGAAAGGAATGTGGAGAAAAACTGAGGCAGAGATCAGAGGTGTCAAAGCAATAGGGATGGGAGGTGCAGTGGCATGACGTGGCCAGGGAGCCAGGGAGAGGCCACGGTCTTGGCTGCTTGGCAGTGACCAGGGCTGCTAGTGCCAGACACACGTGAGTAATTATGAGGTTTGCTCTGGGGTTGGTTTTCCTGATTGGCTCCTGCCTCCTGCTCTGAGGCACGTCATAGAATTAACTATGACCTTGCTGCAGCTCTGCATGGCGATTTATGCCACTGCAGTCAATAAAAGCCACTTTGGGGATTGCACTAGATTACGGGTGGGAAGAGTGAGCAGTTATCCAGTGGTGTTCAGTCATTCTCCGTGGGGTGCCCTCTATATTCCTCCTCTTCATTTCCACAAAATTACCTATGGCTGCCAAAGTGGACCCTGGTTTTTGGATTTGTTATTTAGATGGACCTTGCCTTGGACCCTCTCACACTGATACGGTACCATGAAGTTATGCAGCACAGAAGTTCTCAACGTGCGACATTTTCTCTGGTATCCGTTACTGGAGGAGCCATTCCCACAGACACTGAAGGGGGCTGTGGCCCGCACCCTGGCTCCTCTCAGACACTCTCACCTTACAGGGGTGAGGATCCACTCCATAGGTCTCCAACGTCTGTGCTTTTCTTAAGAAGTTCAGCTCGGATGTTGCTGGTGTTTGACCGCTGGAATAAAGAAATGGATGATTTTAGGGCTTTGAATTCCCAGGAGTCTCCTGAGGTAAACTTTATTAGGGGCCACACCCCACCACTTCTCCAGAGTGTGCTCCCTACTGGGTTCTGAGACCAGCTGCAGAGCCTCAAATCTAGGGTCAGAATCCACATGTCGTCAGAAGGAGGCCACCAAAGGAATTGCCTAGGCTGAGCGTGTGCAACAGGGAGCAGAGGGGACTGCAGCATGCCGGGGAGTGCAGTTTGCTAGAGCACAGCTGCTCCTCAGCTCTGAGACCAGTCAAAGGAGCATGCAGGGCCTGGCACTGCTGGATAACATGCTTTTAAACAAGCCAGAAATACTGATTTTGTGAGGCTTCACAATTCCAGACCGGAACAAACAAAATCTATGGTTGAAGCCCACAGACATCTTATCTGTGATCTGGCAGAGACTAGAATGCAAGAGGGGGCCAGGATGCCTTTCTGGTGCCTCCTGCCCTGCTCCTTGACCCTAAGGGAGTGCAGGCACAGAGGGCAATAAGCCGCCCAGCCATCTGAGAGGCCATTGCCTTGCCTTCCTGGCTGCCTCAGCGACAGTGGTGACAAACATGCCTCTGGGTTTCAGGGTGCAGGGCCCTGGAAGGCAGAAGGGCAGGTCAGCAGCGGTGCCAGCTGTGGGCAGGATCGGAAACTGCTCATTTCTGACTTTATCATCTGCCCCCAGTGACATGCAGGAAGACAAGAGCACCAAGAGCAAAGCAGGCCTAGCTCTTCTGTGTCCTCTGAGGTGGCCTCAATCACATACCATCCTCTGTGCCACCTGCTGGAAGACATGCCAAGGACGCAGCACACAGCCTGGGCCCTCAGTGTCAAGAGAGGAGACACAGACAGGCTTTTACACATTGAAGGTAAAGCTATGAGTTGGGTCTTAATTCCTACTGACACGAATCTGCCAGTGAGCCCCAGATCTGGAGGTCCTGGGAATGCTGTGCTGCAGGGAGAGGGCACAGCCCGTGAGTCTAGAGCACCACAGTGTCTTCCAGGGGCCCTGTTGGAGGGTGGTGTGCCCTATGGGCTCAGTTCCCCCCGAAGTGTGCCCAAATCTCCAGGGCCATCAAAGCATTTCTTAGGGGAACACCTGCCTTGAGCTAGGAGGGCTGCACCACCCCGTCCTTTGTCTTTTGAAACACGGTCTCATGACATAGTTCAGAATGGCCTGGAACTCACAGTGATCCCCCTCCCTCAGCTTCCTGTGTGCTGGGACTACAGGTGTGTGTGGTAGGCTGCTCTGAACCAGGAGACCCTATACAGGTCCAGCTTTGGTCTGATTTTTGCCACAAGGGGTCACTGTTTCCTCGCCGTGATAGGAGGGACCAGTGGGGCCTGCTTTCCCGGTCTGGGAGAGGTGTGCAAGTACCCGGGCTTCCACTCTGATGGGGCCTCCACTCCCCTCTGGTCAGAGACCTGCCCCGCCCAGTGATGGTCGGGGTCCGTTTCCAAAGGCTGAGCTGGCTGCCACACTCCTAAAACCTTCGTGCCTCCCTGAAGGCTTTTATTTTGGGGAGGGACTAGTTTAAGTTCAGTGTTATTATTAGAAACAGTCCCATCCCTGGTCGCAGTCCTTCCCTTTTTTTTTGGTACCGGGGATCGCGCTTGGGACCTCGCAAGCGAGGCAGGTGGTGGAACCACTGAGTGAAATCCCCGGCCCCAAGAATTAAGCAGTCCTTCCTTAGAATAGTAAATACACAACTATTCCCAAAGATGAGAAAAAGAATAGAATGATGACATGACGATTTATTTCACAACACTCCACTGCAGGAACCTGTGGCCCCTGTACCAGGTGGAGGGTGTTCAGGGGAGGCTGTGCTCCAGAGCGGTGACAGGGTGGAGCCTGGGGAGCCTCTGACTGCCCTGTGAAATCTGTCTCTGTGGACCGCCTGCCTCATGTGGCTGAAGGGCTGCACGAGTGCTGTTCCGTGGTAGCCTGCACATTCTGGGCAGACTAAGAAGCTGGGGAGGACGAGCTTCCCTGCTTGAGGCCACCTCCCCCAGGGTCAGGGGGTACAGGTGGGCGTGTGGTGCTGAAGACACCGTCCCCAAGCTGTCATGCTTTCAGGGCACCTGCACCTCTAGGTTGTGGCCAGCCAGCCCTGGGTGGTGCCTTTAACCAGAAGCCACCTCCACCTGACAGACTGATACAGATGCCTGCCACTTGTTATGACCCCACTCAGCTTTGCTTCTTTCTCTTTCTCTCTCCCTCTGTTTTTGTGGTGCTGGGGATTGAACCCAGGGGTTTTACCCATGCTAAATGAGTGTTCTACCAGTGAGATACATCTCCAGCCCCTTCCCCATCCCTCTGTTCTTGGAATTGAACCCAGGGCTTTTTGCATGCCGGGTAAGTGCTCTGCCACTGAGCTATACCCTTAGCCTCTGTTTTTCCTTTATGTCTTCCCTTTCCTTCTCCCTAGTTCATGCTTTTCTCCGCATCTCTTAGTGAAGCAAACATCTCTGAGAGGCCAGTCCCTCTCAGTTTTCCCTGCAATACAAGTTCTCTCTTATTCTACACCACGGCCTTAACCACCCTTCATGAGAATGAGCCCACACAGCTGGGGTGTGCTCCTCAGTGGGTACTGAACAGGCGCATTCCAGGGTCAGGAAGCCGGGGACATCATGCTGTGTCAGTGACTGTACGAGCAGAGGACACAGCACAGGGCAGTAGCTCAGTGTCCTGGGCCTGAAGTGGACTGTCACGCACCTGAGTTCTGTCTTGTGAATCTCAGCAATTTTCCTTTCCAGCTTCTCTGAATGTTTAGGAAAAAACTGGAACTTGGAACTGTAGCCTTCAGGGTGTTTTCCTGGGTCGTAATCTCCAATCTCCGCTTTCAAAAGTAATGCAGAAGAAAACAATTGTGGAGACAGGTAAATCACCTCTGGCAAAGGGACACAAGAGTGACACACAGAGCAGCATCCACAGCACAAGTCAGGGTCAGTGAGGACATGATTCTGAGCAGAGGGCCGGCCCTCCAGAGCACGTCCTCCTTTGTGCTCCCCGCTGTGCACAAATTTAAACCATGAGCCAGAAGAGCTGACTTGTTTGCTGAGGTTACCACAAAAAAAATTGCAATTAAAGAGCAGAAGCCTGCACTATGGTCCTCAAGCTCAATCCTGAGACAAGGGCCAGGGACAAGGGCCTAGGTGGTAGGAGGAAGCAGTGAGCTTGATCTGTGAGACAGAACCTCCTGGCTCTGAGCCATGTCAGAAGTCTAAATCTGATGTTCAGGATTTTAGCAGGGACAAAGCAAGTTGATGAATGAGTCATGATCCAAGAGAACTCCACCCTCTGACTGAATCAACCCAGATGAACACATTTGAATATTCACTGAAGGCCGAGCAGGTGCCGGGACCCTGCAGGTGACTCAGACTCGGAAGGCTGCTATAACTAGTCACTGTCGCTGAGTCCAGGAGCACCAGGGTCGGAGGCTGATTTCTCAGCCATTCACAGAGGGTGCTCACCCCTAACACAGCTGGGGGTCTCAGTCAGGGGCCTCCGGGAGGGGCCAGGGGCCACGACCTGTCCCATAGTGCAAGCTCAGGTCAGCAGCCAGCTTCCCATGGGAAGCGCTGTGCAGGGCACTTGCTGGTTGTGATGGAGGAGGCAGGCCCAGCTGCTTTGTGGCTACCCTCTGTCCTTCCCCAGGGAGCCACAGTGCCTCAGATGCAGCAGGAATAAGTGTCAGGAGGCGAGCACACCTTCTTCTCACGGATAAAGGCTTGTGGCTTGTGCTTTTTAAAAAAAATTACAAATCTACTTATGATGCCATCCAAATTATGTGAGAATTTTTATTGTTTAGCAAGAGACTAGACCCTTTCCCCTGAAATCTTGAGTAAGTTTGAACCTTGGAGTTATTTTTATTTTATTTAGAAAGCACCAACTGGAAAACATCAATGTTGAGCATCAAGTTTTTATTTAAAGAAAAAAATGAGAAGAATTTAATGTGATTATTAGGGCAAAACTGAAGAAAGAACTAGAGTTTAAAGTTGTAGTTAGATCAATGAGGCCTTCTCTTTATAAAGAAAAGGGGCATCTTTTGGGACCTTAAAACTATCAAGCAGCAGCCAAATTTCCCATTTTATTGATTTTAAAAATAAGAGTCTCAGAAGTCAAAATGGCAAGGACTGACTTTCTCATTCTTAATACAGTTGTGATATTTTTTCCTGCCAAAAGGACCTTCCTTTCTTATTGGCAAACCGTTTCTCTTCACAAACATGGGCGTTCACAGATTTCCAAATAAGAGTTTAGATTCTTTGACAAAAACTTCATGATCTTAGGGCTTTGGCTCAGAATGCTGTAGTGGTAATGAAATTTTTAGGTAAGGACTAAGAAGTTTAGGAAGTGGCGCTGAAGCATCCTCAGCATTTGATGAAAGCAGGAAGAGACACGTGAAGGTGTGCCTCTCTCCACTGCTTTGCAGGAGAAAGTCAACCTGGGCATCAGCCGTGCAACGTACACCTCTCCCTTATTGGCACATTAGGAACTGTGAAAACTCTGAAAGTTTTTCAGCACTGAGTGAGCACTCTGATAAGTCTCTGAAACAGATACCAGAATGCCACAATCTTCACATCTTAGAGGTTAGCATGAGAGGCTAGGACCAAATTGACTTCGATCACTCTCTGGAGTATCAGTGATGTTACCAACCAAGGGCACAGGGCAAGTCCCACCCAGAGTCAGAAAGACTTTCAGGGGCTGGTAATGAGGTCTCAGGTAAGACTGAGGATTTAGTGCTCAGTGCTTTCTAGCCCTAGGGAATCTAGACAAAATCCTTTAACTTGGACTCTGCTTCAAGTTAGATACTGTTCAGATGCAAGAAGTAGCCATCTGTGGTAACTGAAATAATATAATCAGTACTTAGCATGGAAAGCAAATTTATCTTGTCAAAAGTTATTACCTTGAAGGATATAAGCTGCTAACAAGGCAGCGTCAGATGTTTTACAGAGGAGGCGGCCATGATAGAGATCCCTTTTGATCTGCAGGAAGACTAGATACCTGGAGAGAAAACAGACAGCACACCAGAAAGGATTTCTTTGATTGCTTTAAAGACATAAATATGTAATATAAGCCTATAAAAATCTTTTTGTCATTAAGAAAATTCTCAAAACATACTGTAAAACAAATACATTTTCCATTTCCCAAGAGACTCTTCGTATTACTTTTTGCTTTGAACTGATTTGAGGTTCAATTCAAGGAAACTTGTCAGTTTCCTTCTGGAGCTCAAAATAGAAATGGCACTTCTTGGTAAAAGCAGCGGCCCCAGTGCCAGGGTTTGGAAGGAACCAGCCCTAGTCTGTCCAGTGCCATCAGAAGTGGGCAAACTGGACCTCCTGTTGCCCTGGTCTCTGGAGTAGAACAGCAGCAGAAGGAACTGGCCCAAGAACCAGTTTGGCCTCAGCTCTCAAGGGAGCCTGTCCCTAAATGGAAATACCCTGCAACTGTGGCAGAAGTCAACCAGACCTCTCCAAATGTGGCCAATGTCTAAGAAGAGGCGCTGGTGAACGAAGCACAAAACTTCACCAGAAACCTGGGCCAGCATCTCTTCAAATACAGAAAGCTCACCTCAGATGGAGGCAGGGTATCAAGGATGAGAGGTAGCTGGCATGTGGGAAGCACTTCCTGCCTGCCAGTCTGCTTTTACACATTTTACATTTAAGATTCCATTTAATTCTATCGTAAAGCTTGGAGATAGGCACTATTATTATGCCCACTTTTGCAGATAAAGTGGAGGCTCTTGTGATTTTCTCATGGGCAGATGAGTAAGTAGCACAGCCTAGATTCCAATTCAGCACTGTTGGGCCCATGAACTTGGCTCTTAGTCCCTGCATTATTCCACCCTCCTGACCCTGCCGTCAGATGGACCCAGTCCTGGTGGAATGGGACTGGTGACTCTCCATGGTGAAACATCTTCATTAAAAGTATGATCTTTCATGGTCATAATCTCAGAGTCCCTTAGGAAGAGCAGACCTGTGAGACTCTGAGGCACATCAAGCCCTTGAATGGGTCCCCTCCTGTGGTGGCTCCTTGGCCGGGGACCATCTGTGGAGATTTCAAATATGTCCCCAAATTCCCTGATCCTCCTCATCTCAGGAATTGGTTGGGCTTTGGGTTGTGGCAAGGATTTAGTGGCTTGCTTCTGTCTCTCTTCCCTCCTATACGGTCCCATCCCCTCCCCTCTCTTCCTCTTCCTTCTCTTCTTCCTCCACCTCCTCCTCCTCTTCCTTCTCCTCCTTCTCCCCTCCCTCCCACGTGTGACCTCTGATTCGGAACACCTGGACTCCTCCTTGGAGCAGGGATATGTATGCCTTGCAGATTTCCCCAGTCTGTGCGGACTTCCACTTGTGGAAGCAGAATGAGATTCCTGATTTTAACATTTTCCTTGGAAGGCACTTCTTTACCCTGTATATGTTTTCTTCTATTAAACAAATAATGCATGCAAGTTTAGCAAAATATACAAATCATTTTTTTTTTTTTGGTACCGGGGATCAAACTCAAGACCTTCTGCTTGCGATGCTGGGGGAGGAACCACTGAGCTAAATCCCCAGCCCTAGCAAAATATACAAATACACATAAGTAGATTAGTAATTACTTAGCATGGTGCTTTCTGATTACAGATTAATTCTTAACTCCATTTTTATGTCTTCGTTCTTCTGTTTCAAATTCTGTTCTCTCCTTTCCTCCTTCACACAAATTGCCCAATATTCTATAAGTAGTATTCTGGTTTGATATTAGCATACACTCTTTCTTTTATTTTTTTTCAACTGCAGCTTCACTATTCCTGAGCTTCATAGACTCATTAATAAAACTTGTCAAGTGATGACTTCCACATTTCCCTTCTTCCACATTAGCCTGCTCGCTGCAGCTCTGCCAGCTGCTGTCACTGCCTCACTGTTTGCTGGGCCTTGATGACAGCTGCCAACCTCTTGGGCCTTCTTTACCAAGGCTCCATGGCACCGTGGCACCGTCCCTGGTTTCTGAGCTACTCAGAGCCAAGTGCTCTGCATCACCTGACTTGCTTCTCACAGAGGTGAGTGTCTCCTTCTGAGACCTGGCTGCAGTGTGACTGTGGCTTCTTTCGTGTTAACTCTTCTTTTGGACTTGCACTCTGCTTGAGGATGCTGAGGTTGCCCAACAGGAAGGTCTGTGTAGTGAGGAGTAGATGCCTTTTGCCAACAGCCAGCAAGGAACTGAGGTCTTCTGCCAGCAGCCACAAAAGTGCACGATACAGGAAGTGAATCCTCGACCCCAGTCAACCCTTGAGACAACTGCAGTCACAGCCAGGCTCATGAGTCACCCCAAAACAAACCACGCAGTCAGCTGCTCCTGAATTCCCAATCACACAGACTCTGAGGTAAAGAAAAATTAGGAAAGCAGTACCACTCACAATAACATCCAGAAAAATTAAACACTTAGGAATTAACCTAACCAAGGAAATGAAAGACCTCTACAGTGAAAACTACAGCACTCTGAAAAGGGAAATCAAAGAGAACATCAGAAAATGGAAAGATATCCCCTGTTCCTGGCTAGGTAGAACCAAGAGTCAAAATGGTCATATTTCCAAAACTGTCATACAGATTTAATAAATAGCCATCAAAATACCAACATCGTTCCTCAAAGAACTAGAGGAAACAATCCTAAAATTCATATGGAACTAGAAGAGACCCAGAATAGCAAAAGCAATCCTGGGTAACAAGAGCAAAGGAGGAAGCATCACATTCTGAATTTCAAGTTATATTACAAAGCTACAGTGACAAACGTAGCATGGTACTGGCACAAAAACAGAGATGTAGATCAATGGACAGAATAGAGGATGCAGAAAAAAATCCCAGGCACATTCAGCTATCTGATCTTTGACAAAGGGGTCAAAAACATATACTGAAGGAAGGATAGCCTCTTTAATAAATTGTGCTGGGAGAACTGGCTTTCCACATGCAGAAGATTGAATCTAGACCTAAATATCTTACCATGTACTAACCTAAAATCAAAATGGATCAAAGGACTAAACGTTAAAACAGAAACCTGCTGGAGATAAAATGGGTACAACTCTTGAAGACATAGGCATAGGCAAGAACTCTCTGTACAGAAACTCAATAATATCAAGAATCAACAAATAGGATCATATCAAGTTAAAAAGCTTTTGCAGAGCAAAGGAAATAATCAACAGAATGAAGAAACAACTTACAGAATGGGAAAAGTTTTTTTAAAACTACTCTTCAAACAGAGGACTGATATCTTATATGTATAAAGAAGTCAAAGCTGGGCGTGGTGGTGCACGCCTATAATCCCAGCACTTGGGAGGCTGAGGCAGGAGGATCCCTGTGAGTTCAAGGGCAGTCTGGGCTACATAGTGAGTTTGAGGCCAACCTGATCTACACAGCGAGACCCAGTCTCAAAAAAAAAAAGTAAAAAAAATTAGAACCCCTCCAAAATAAAAGAATCAAAAAATGGGCAAGTGAAATGAACAGACACTTTGCAGAATAAGTACAAATGAGCAACAGCTATATGAAAAAATGTTCAGCATCTCTGGCCATTAGAGAAATGCAAATTAAAACAATACTGAGAGTCCATCTCACTCCAGAAAGAATGGCTATTATCAAGAAATAAAATAATAACAAATGCTGGTGAGGATGCGGGGGCCGGGGGGAGGAACCCTTCTATGTTGTTGGTATGAATGTAAACTAGTACCACCACTATGGAAATCAGTATGGAGATTCCTCAAAAGACTTAAACTAGAAATTCCATTTAACTCAGCTATCCCCCATCTAGGTATCTTCTTGAGTAAAAGACATCTTATTATAGTGATACATGCATACCCATGTTTATAGCAGCATAATTTATAACAGCTAAATCTTAGAAGTGGCCTATATGTCCATCAACAGATGAATGGGTAGAGAAAATTTGGTATTTACACACAATGGAGTACTGTGCCATGAAAAGGATAAACTTTGAGTCATTTGTAGAAAAATGGATGCATCTTGGGACCATAATGTTAAGTGAAATGAGTAAGACACAAGTTTAAATATCATGTGGTTTCTCTTACATAAAAAACAAAATATAAATAAAGAGCAAAATAAAAGATAATAGGAAATAGGGAGATTGATCTTTTGCAAATGGAAATGGGCCCAAGAGATGGAAGGAGGGGAAAGGGGAGGAGAAGGGGATGAAGAACAGTGAGATGTGCTGTGTACATGGACCAACTCTCCATGAGGAATGTAATCAGTATGGACTGCAAACATGTACTGATACATAAAAACTGAAGAGAACAAATGAATGAATGAACAAATAAATAAACAAAACTGTGACAGAATGAATACTTGTTGCTTGAAGCTATGCTTTATGTCACTTTGGTAGACAGCCTATAGACAGACAGCTGTAGCTTCCCTAGGGAAGTAATGGGAATATAGTAAAATTCCCTTAAATTCCACTCGTCTGAACTAAAAGAAACCAGGCCCTTCTTAGGCAAATGGAGGTTTTCATAGCTTCTTTTATATATTTTTAAAAATTTTGACCATTTTTTTGGTGCCGGAGATCAAACTTGGGACCTTGAGCTTGTGAGGCAGGCAGTGGAACCACTGAGCTAAATCCCCAGCCCAATTTTTGACTTTTTGAAGCAAGGTCTCACATGTAGCTCAGGCTGGCCTTGAACTCAGATCCTCTTGCCTCAGCCTCCTGAGTTCTGGAATTATAGGCATGCCCAGCCTGCTTCTGTTTTTACCTTAAAGAATAAAACAGGACTCATGTGTACTCAATCATGTAACATGCCCAGAGAAATAACACTACTGATGGTGTAGCCTCCAGGAGGTGGGAGGAAGGACTACTAGCAGGAGACACCAACAGCTTTGGGCTCAGATAGCTGAGCAATTCACAATCAGAATGGAGGAGCAGCTCAGCCCTCCTCTCCTCAGACCTTGGGGCTCAGTGTGGCCGACATTGCAGCAGAATCAGCGCCCCCTGGGTGCTTTCTGGAGATGCAGAACATGAGGCCATGCTATCTG